CAACCCTCATCAATATTCTCATTATTTAATTTGCAGTTCATTTAAAAAAAATAACAATAGATAATCCAATTGATTTTTTTTCTTTCATTTAATTTGTTTTTTATTATATTTGTGTCTGTACTGTTTTTTGGTATAATTTGTGTGTGTAGTTGATGGCTGCAATTGCTTTGCAAATAATTGGCTTTGTTATTGTCACCGGGTTTTAATTTCTGCCACAACCACACAAACATAAAAACTTAATACAAAAAATATATTATTTAGTACTATATTGTAAATTAGGCATCCTTAGACGAAAGAGTGGGAAGATGTCATCGACGAAAGTCTATTTTATGCTAGCTATTATTAATTAATATATATATAATAGCGTGGTAATATTTAAACAGTTTCTGTTGTGTGTGTATGTGTTTTCATAAGTATATAATTATAGTTGACAATGATTAATTGTTATTATTTGTGTTTGATGAGGAAAGTCGACAACTATTCATGACTTGTTTGATAAGTCAATTATATTTAAAAGTCAACAGTTTCTTATCACCAAGTTTAGGTACATAGACAAAAGGGTCGGGAATACAATGAGGAATATTTGTCAATATAAAATTAAGTATAAATCATTAGTCCATTATTTATAATATATATATATATATTCATACTATATAGCTAGCTTGCCTATATAACAGTATGTTATACATATTTAAAAATTTATATATTTTCGATATATATAAATACTAACATGTCGACAGATATTACTTTAAAGAATATTGTGCGGAAGTCTACAATTTTATAATATAAGTATGTATTTTTATTTGAAAAGTATTAAGGATTATACTTAATTAAATTATGGTCTCGTCATTTTTTTTTTCATACGTTAGTTGTACAAAGTATGATGATTCATGTCAAAATATTATTTCATGTTAGAAAATAGTATTTGGATCTTTTGATACTTGGATGTGGGGTAGTCAAAGCAATTAAAAAAACACATACTAACACATTCATCTAAATAATTCAGCTAAAAAATTAATTTTATATACAGTTTTGTTATGGATGGCTCCATAATTATTAATATTATTTAAGTAATTATAAGAATATGATATGATTTATTTATTGGCTTTATAGCAAAACTGTTGTATGTAATTCATTAAAGCAGTTTTGGACCTTATGCGACAATAAATTAATTGCAATGTTTAACTTAAATCAACTCTTTAATTATTGTTCTAATGGCCTAATTAGCGGTTAACCTTTTGGTGAAAGAATATTATGGACCACTTGAAAACAACACACTATTTGCTTTTCATGTGGTGTGCTTTGGAATCTATCAACGGCCTTTCATGTTCTCCAAATATTATACTCTCAATAAAATATGAAATATGTACACAATCTACTTGCATCAAGAGAACTTTTGTGTCATTTTATTTAATTTTATTTACTTTTAACAATAATTAAGGGATTGTGATCTAGAGTTCCAATTAAACTAGAATTTAGATTTCTACAAGTATCATTAAAAATGTAATTTAAGCATTAAATTAGATTTTGTGATGGTCTAGATTGTATTTGTCGATTCATAAAACTAAGTCGTTGTTAGCAGCCACATCAAGATACACGAACATAATATGATATGATTAGAAAGAATTTGATCATAAAACTAAATGATGCAATGGATATATATATATATATAATATATACGACACAAATAAAAAACATAGTCAATTTTGAACTTAATAGCATATAAATAATAAAATAAAATAGATAATACTATAAAAATACGATAGTTAACAATAAATAAATAAATTAATTAATAAATCAAATAGATAATTCAATAACACGACACTGAAATACGATAAGACGGTTTGAAAACCTAAACCCATGTTCTTGCTTTATTGGGAGCCGCTATTGGTTTGAAAGTGGCTTCTAAGTTTGGTGCTACTTATGCTTAGAGCAATCCATTGTGTTACAAGTTGGGGGTTAATTAATTTAATTAATTAATTATTGCCAATGGGGTTAATTATTTTTAGGGACTAATAAACAACAGGCGGCCAAAGTCTAGGCCAGCACTTGATTTGGTAATTTTAAATTACTATTATTTCGCAAAAAGAACTAATCGCTATACAGATGACGAATTGAGTTAACAAAAGTATGTACCAATGCTATAATTTTCATTATTTTATTTATATATGTAAGAATATTGGTTTGGCATCGTTCGACAAACCTAAGTGTTTCCTAGAAGATTTTTTTGTTAGGCAAACAAAATAAATTAAAGGGAAATTTTTTATTTATTTACTTGTTACTACACTATTTACTTTTCATGTTACTACACTATTTTTGGGAAGTAGATCAAAGGAGATCGTGAAAGAAGGAAAGAACTTGGAGAAGACTGTAAGCCTAAGGAGTTGCATATATACCCTACTTGAAGATCGAATGAAGGCTGCTGAAATCATTATCTTCCATTCGAAAAACTCGGTCAAGAGGGTGCGATCTCGCGCAGATGAAGCGCACTATAAGAGGGTGGACTTAGGTGCACCTTAGTGAGGTTCCATCTCAAAACCAATATGTGATAGGAGTAGTAGCCCACTAAGCATATAAGTTAGGCTCAATTGCCTTATAAAATCAACGTGGACAACTCAGAAGTGATACTTCAATAAGATATTACTATTTTTTTTTTCTTGCTTTATTAGGTTGTTAAAGACAACTTGAAGAACTCTTTCTGTCTTCTAAAGACTAAAAAACAAAAAATAAAAAAGACTAAAAGTATCTAAAAGTAAAACGAGTTCAAAAGGAAAGGACAAATATGATAGAACTAATTACTAAAGAAAATGAAACTTAGAATAACCAACTTGTATATAAAATGATTGAGGTGAACAATGCAGCAAAACTTTACACTAAATTATAATTATATAAATAAATTGGATCAGCTGCAAGAATTGTCTAGTCAATTATCAGATATATAAGATATTTTAGACTGTAAAGAGTACTTATTAAGATAAGAAAACCATTTTAGACAAGTATTGAACAAGGAAGTTGTGATATATATATATATAATAATTTAGTGCTTAACATGAAGATTCACACTATATTTAGCAAAACTGAGGTTACCAGATATTGTAAAGAAACAAAATTAAATTAAAAGTTTATACTAAATTAGGAGTTGCTACATTCCGTACAATATATTAGTACGTACACACAGTTTTGAAATTGAAAACAAGATTAACTTATTAATAAAAGAAGCAAAAGATGATTAGGCTTTGGGGTTTGTCTGACATAATTAAACAGTGATAAATGACTCAACTAGATATAATATCTCCTATATGGTTAAATAATAGCAGGAAACCCCTGATTTGGATGCTAATATGCTATATTATATTGTACTTTAATTAAAAATTGTACTATTTAATTAAACAGTGATAAATTGTACTATTTAATAAAAAAATTATCTTTTGGGAAGTATAAAATTTTGAATCTTCAATTAGAATATGTTTTTTCTCAACTTTTTTTTAATTAAGTTTCTTGGTGCCAACACAATGAATTGCTAATTTTGGAAATGATTACACATGATAATATTTTTTTTTAACTCAATGATAAACTATTGATTAGAACAATCCATATGCATTTATAAGGAGATCCAGATTGGTCCATTATAGTTGCACAGCACATTGACCAGGATATTTAAACAGAAATGAAAAAAAGAAAAAAGAAAAGGAACGCCTCTGCGGATCTGCCATAAATCCTTATTAATTAAATTTTTCAATATTTGGAGTTTGGGCCTTGGGGTAAAAGGCCACGAGGGTTAGAAAGTTGCGTGGAGAGGGAGATGATAATTGGGCTTTAAAACAATGGATCTAAGTCCAGTAAATGTGGACTTATACACAGTGGCCCAAAGCCAACGGTTTGGACTTCGATTATAGTCACCCGCAGAAAGTTGGAAGATTTTTCAATATTACTACTGTGACAATAAAATAAATGAGACCAGAAAGTATTGTTATCCAATGTGTATTATATCGAAGTGTGAATGTGTGATAGTGAATCTTACCCTATTTAGCACGTGCACTATTTATACTGCCTCATTATTTTATCAATCCAAGTTATTATGAGAATATTCTTCCTGCTAAGAGTTTTTTTTTTTCTTTTCTTTTTTCGTTTCATGAGCTGGAAATTAAAATGTATTCAATCAGATATTCCAACTCATATTTCAAGCATAACTTTAAAGCTCAAGAAATTTTAAACACTCTAAGCTCTAATTATACCAACATATAACTGAGCATGAATACTTCTATATGACGAATTAATTAAACAATAAAATACTAAAATAGAGTGACATATATACTTTGAAGTCTGTAAAGTGTTTCAAGTTTATAGCCACTTTTCGAGATGTTTCAGTGCGACATGTCAATTGTCGCATTCCTTGTCAATTATTGCTCAAGATAGTGTTTTCCTGTTTTCTTTATAACATTCAGTTGTCTTTCAAAATTATAAATTTGACTAGTGCCATTAAGTTATATACAGTAGAAATATAGCATATAAATGTGAAATAAGTGTTGGTTAAAAGAGGCTTGAGTGCAATTTGACAAATAGCACAAAAATTCTTGTGTGAGATTGCCTAACCGTTTGACACGGGTCGAGTCGTTATATTTTTCTAAACAAAAATCATGTAAACTTATGCTTTAAACTGTATGTTATACTCTAAAAAAATATAACATTTCATATGATACAATCATGTGCCTTTTTGTTAGAAAAATATGACATGTCCATTTGTAACAGTAAAACAGCCACATACAAGAACTTGTGACATAGAATATAAATGTGAAATGAGTGTTTAGTCAATAAAAAGAGGCATGAGAGGACTAATGAGATACAAAGACTTCCAATTATCCTATAATTTTTAATCACACACTAAGATTGACAAATTGAATAACCAAAAAATGAAAAGCATCAATAAACTCTCCAAAACAATATCTTAAAAGCACACAATTTACTTAATTATACACAAATGATTGAGTAA